AGCCCCAGCTACCCCCAGAGCAGCGGAGAGAGCTGTCAGAACAGTCAAACTGATTCTGAGCATGTAACATGTAGCCCCAGCTACCCCCAGAGCAGCGGAGAGAGCTGTCAGAACAGTCAAACTGATTCTGAGCATGTAACATGTAGCCGCAGCTACCCCCAGAGCAGCGGAGAGAGCTGTAAGAACAGTCAAACTGATTCTGAGCATGTAACATGTAGCCCCAGCTACCCCCAGAGCAGCAGTGAGAGCTGTCAGAACAGTCAAACTGATTCTGAGCATGTAACATGTAGCCCCAGGTACCCCCAGAGCAGCGGAGAGAGCTGTCAGAACAGTCAAACTGATTCTGAGCATGTAACATGTAGCCCCAGGTACCCCCAGAGCAGCAGTGAGAGCTGTAAGAACAGTCAAACTGATTCTGAGCAAGAAAAATGCTGAGCTTACTGCTCTAACAGAATCATCCCGACCCAACCCCAACGTGATGGTGACCAGATTGGGGGTAATTTCCTGTCCACCAGAAAGACTAGACTGGCCAAACAGACCATGTTTAATATAATTAGAACTGCTGTGAATAAATGGGCCTTTCAACAGAGTCCAAAAGTTCAGGCAGTCAGCCCTGTCCTTAGAGAAGGAAAATACGGCTTCTCATGTTTACAGAAGAGTAACAATGGTGTTCGGTTTACAGAAAAGTAACAATGCTGTTCATGTTTTCAGAAAAGTAATAATGCTGTTCATGTTTTCAGAAAAGTAATAATGCTGTTCATGTTTACAAAAAAGTAACAATGCTGTTCATGTTTACAGAAAAGTAATAATGCTGTTCATGTTTACAGAAAAGGCACAATCACATTACAATACTGTTTTGATACATTACCAGCAGGGTAAGATTCGAAAGAAGAGTGAAAAATACTGTATGTTATCTGACTAAAAGGGGGAAATGTAGTAGAACCATGTCAGGACACTAGAGGGCACTAAAGTATTGGGGAATGGAATAGACAGCGATAGAAAGGAGAGTAAATAAAAGAATATAAATGTTTGAGTTCACGAAAAGCGTACCTGTCAATTTTGAATGTGGTAAATTCCAAGATTCACACCAGAACATTCTACACGGATGTTACGTCCTGCTGCTGCTCGCTCCGCCCCCTCGACCAGGACGCCGCCCACCAGACATTGCTCCGCCTGCGTCACTTCCTGGTTCCCGGAGTGAAAAGCCGGACAGCAAGACCCATCGAGAGCTCTGCTCATATTTTGGATTGTGTTTTGGTTTGCTTATTTGATTGATTATTGTGTATGACGGTTTTGGTTTCTCGGTTTACGATTTCTCGCTTTGCCCCTTCTCTGTGCTTCTGCCCTGGTTTTGTTTGCTTTCTGGTTTTCGATCTTTCGCCCGGTTTTTGGTTTACGANAACAGTCAAACTGATTCTGAGCATGTAACATGTAGCCGCAGCTACCCCCAGAGCAGCAGTGAGAGCTGTCAGAACAGTCAAACTGATTCTGAGCAAGAAAAAAGCTCAGCTTACTGCTCTAACAGAACCATCCCAGCCCAACCCCAACGTGATGGTGACCAGATTGGGGATAATCTCCTGTCCACCAGAAAGACTAGACTGGCCAAACAAACTATGTTTAATATAGTTAGACCTGCTGTGAAGAAATGGTCAGAATACAGTCTTTCAGCAAAGTCTGAAGGTTCAGGCAGTCAGCCCTGTCCTTCAGCTTTGAGAAGGAAAATATGGCTGCTCATGTTTACAGAAAAGTAACAATGCTGTTCATGTTTACAGAAAAGGCACAATCCCATTACAATATTGTTTTGATACATTACCAGCAAGGTAAGATTCAAAAGCAGAGTAAAGAAATACTGTATGTTATCTGACTAAAACGGGGAAATGCAGTAGAATCATGTCAGGACACTAGAGGGCACTAAAGTATTGGGGAATAGAATAGACAGCGATAGAAAGGAGAGTAAATAAAAGAATGTAAATGTTTGAGTTCACGAAAAGCGTACCTGTCATCTTTGAATGTGGTAAATTCCAAGATTCCAACATTCTACACGGCTCAGATAATTTACGATGGAAAACCATCAGTTCGCAGTTCGGCTCGGGTACGGCTCAGTTTCTGGTGGCATTGGAAAAGTGCCATATTAAGCCTCTTGTTTCCTACTGATATACAGAGAATAGAAGAACCTATTATCTATATATCTATCTATCTAACTAATTATACTAATGAAAAACACTAAACATACACCTCATGAAGTTTTCTTTATTCATGCTTTCGATATTTATTGATAGTTTATGTTCTGCAGTATAATAATAACGAAATGACTTGCTGAAGCGCTAAACATTCAGCTCTGTGGTTTTGTCACTTCCTGTGCCCACTCTGTGTCTGCTCTTTGTTAAAACAGATACGAGAGAGACAGTGAAGGTCCAGAGGATGAGGAAGTGAGGGTCAGTCTCCACAGGTCTGGGCTCAGTGACACACGTATGGATCCTCTNTTTGCATCATCCCTCTGTGTTGTCTGTGTCACTCGGTTGCTGTGTGTTTTTCGGCTTTGCTTGGCGGTTTACCTGTGGTAGGGATAGTTTGTGTAACTAGGTTTAGCATGGCTACCTTTGACCTCAGATAATTTATGACGGAAAACCATCAGTTCGTGGTTCGGCTCCGGTTCGACTCAGTTCCTGGTGGCAGTGGAAAAGTGCCATATTAGCCCTCATGTTTCCTACTGATCCACAGACATTAAAAGAACCTGTTTCAGTGGCACTTTCAAAAACTGTTTAATACATAATGAAGCCTGACAAGCATATTGTCACAGACGTAAGGACAGAGCCTCTGTATACAGCACACAGTGTTTCTACAGACTCTCACTCTCACATCCTGTGTGACAACATTTCTGCTTTTCTGAATAAGTATGTCTGAAAATATCTTCTGCACCATGGTAACGATTTAGCTGCTGTTTGAGGCCTTAATGTCAGAAGCCCAAGTCTTTTGTTGGACTTGCCCTGGTTCCTCAAAGTCCCTCTGTGTCATTAGTCTATTATGAATTTAGATATCTAACGCATATATATATACCTGCCTCATACTGTATATCTGCTGGTACTGACTGTGACCATGACTGTGACTGTGTGTAGTTTACATGCTTCCTCTGTTAATTTCTCCAGGTTCCAGTGCCCTGTAATGGACTGACGTGCTGATGAAGGTTTACGTCACTTTACACTGTGTGCTTCCTGCATTAGGATCTAGATAATTATACTAATGATAAATAGCTGGGATAAGACAGAGGGAAATCTTTAAGGCAACAGAGATGCAACAATTTATTTCTTATTATCAGTAATACACTATTAATACACATTAACTTTAATCCATGAACTCTTCTTTATTCATGCTTTCAACTTTATTATTATTCTCCTCTACAGAACAAAATGACTTGCTGAAGCACTAAACATTCAGCTCTGTGGTTTTGTCACTTCCTGTACCCACTATCTATCTATCTATATATCTATTTGGCAAATTATGCTAATGAAAAACAATAAAAACACTAAACATACACCTCATGAAGTTACCTTTATTCATGCTTTTAACTTTTATTGATTAGTTTATGTTCTGCAGTATAATAATAATGGAATGCCTTGCTGAAGCGCTAAACATTCAGCTCTGTGGTTTTGTTACTTCCTGTGCCCACTCCCTGCCTGCTGTGTGTGAAAACAGAAACGAGAGAGACAGTGAAGGTCCAGAGAATGAGGAAGTGAGGGTCAGTCTCCACAGGTCTGGGCTCAGTGACAAACGTATGGATCCTCTGATGCTCCTGTTTCTCCTCATTGCTGGGCTCACAGGTGAGTGTCACTCATTACAGTGGAACTGAGTAGAGATCTCTCTCCTGCTCCTCCACGCACTGTCAGATACAGTTTGCAGAAAAAAAGTCAATAATGCAGATCTGCTGCTATGTGAGAAGCAATCGGAAAATGTGAATAAATGTAAAAAGAATCATAGACGGCTGCTTCGAGTTGCAATAACTTTGTAGCAAAACTGCTAATACTTACTGAATTCCTCCAGACAGCACAACATTTGGTAGAATTAAAGTGTTTGAAAACCATTT